CAAAACAACAGCAACTTGTCTGTTCCCCTTCCCCCAATTCCCCAGCGCTGTTCCCATCCCCCCAATTCCCCAATAAAAATCTTAAAAAAAAACAACACCTACAGATATAAAACAACACTATTTTCCAAGTGAAAACACATATCCTTGGATGCAGATCGGACACATTAAAGAGATGAATCAGGAAGAAAAGAAATAAAAGAATAAAAAATAGAGCACAAGACGGTTCTTGTGAGGCCTGGTAATGATTTTGTGACATAAATTGAAGAGTATGATTCATTCAATGTTGTGTATTTGAGGTCCAAGAAACTCTAAACTTTTTTTTTAAAGGCACTTTCTAAACTGCATTTTTAAAGCCAGAGCTTCCCACAGAATTCCTTAGTTCAACTTTCTGTCTTATTCTACGGATGGGGAAACTGAGGCATGGAAAGGGAGGAAAGAGGTAGAGAATAAGAGGGAGTGAAAGAAATAGGAGAGGGGCCAGGAAGCCTAGGGAAGTGGGAAGGAACTTCCCAAATTGAAGGAGGATGTGGAGGAACAAGAGATAAATTGAGTCAAGCGAGGTGGTGTGAGTCAGGCCTCCACCTGGGAGCCTGAGGGAAGGAAGAGGACATGAGATGTCCCAACAGGAACAGTGACAGTCCTTATGCTTAGTGTAGCAGAGTGAAGAGGACAGGGTTTGTAGCAGTCAGTGCGGGAAAAGTGGTCCACATCCACACAGGAAATGTGAAGTCCCATCTAGTGGGTGTGGTACGTCATCTGGGAGAGTGTGGGGTGTCTGGCATCCTATTTGAGCTACTAATAATCTAGGACATCTTGTCTCTGACCCTAGAGTATATGGCATATCCCATTTGGAAAAGAGTAGTTTATGGGTCGCCCCCTTGCTGCCCCTTGGAATGTCCTTTGAGAGGCAGTGGGATGTATGGGATATCTCTGAGATAATGAACAAGGTGAGATGTCCTCCGAACGATCAGGACTGTGGGATGATGGTAAGGGTCTTGTAAGGAAGTTGAAGTTCTTTCTGACCAATAGGGGGACATCAAGGGATATGAGGGATCCTATCATACTCATATACAGTGAGGTGGGGTGGGCCATCCCCTCCAGTGCAGCTAGGATCTTTACGATACCTGTGTGGACCAGTGAGATGCAATATAAGGTAGTTGCTAAGAACAGAGATGACCAGGGTTCAAACCCCATATGACTAGCCTGGGTGCATAGACTTAGATTTCTTTTCATTTTTCTCTTCCAGAGAATGGGGATGATAATAACTACTCACAGGTTTGCTGTGTGGGTTAATGAGTTAATGCACGTGACGTACCTAGAACAGAGCTGGCCACCACATAAGCATTTAATATTTATATTACTGAAACATCCCATGTTGCAGAAGTTTGGGAACTCTCTGCTTGAGGCTCTGAGGGGTGAGAACTAGCCCATCTGCAGAAGTTAAGTGTTTAACCTGGATACTAAGTGGGTGGATACCTCAAACAGCAAGGGGTGCTTGGCACCTCACTTTGCTACCACTTTGTCCTATTTGGACCTCACGGATGTACAATACCACATCTACAGAAGTGAAGGAGGACGGAAGTCCCTTCTAGAGCCCAGAGGAATAGGAGCACTTTGAGGGGTATGGAGATCATAGGACACCCTTTGGACAGGAAAGAGTGCTAGAGATCCATAAGGGCGATCAAGCATGTGACATCCTGAGTGGGCCCTGAAGGGTATCAGATAGTTTCCTTGGATCAGGAGAGGTTGCGTGGGATCCCATTCCCAAGGGGGACAGGCTGTCCCACTGCTATAAGGGGATGGCTCCCTGGCATAGCTAGAGGTGAAAGGGCCGCTATTGGGAAAGTGAGGGGTGTGGGGGTATCTGTAAGAGAAAATGAGAAGGCCGGAGCATCCAGGCTGAGCATTTACAGGTGAGAGAGGATGGTAAATGAAGAACACTTCCCGAGAAGCACAGGGGTTACCCTACGGAGTTGAGAGGTATGTGGTGAGAGGAGTGATTTGGTGGAATCGGTAGGTGGAAACAGCCATGGGTTCTACTTGGGGGTGGGGGTCAAAGCAGCCTGTCTCCTAGGTCCCAAAGGATGGGAGTGCAGGCTGTCTAGGGTTTGAAAAAAGCAAGCTGACACCACAAACCCAGACTGTCTCTCTCTCAGGGCACAGGCTGTGTGTGGGCACATACACAGGGGCACAGGCTGTCTCAAGGGGTGGGGGCGTTTCTGGGGTACACAGGCTGTCTAAGGGCACCAGCTGTGTCTGGATTCACAAGCTGAGTCTCAGGGCCTCGGCCCCGTGTGGAGGCACAAGGTTCTCTGGGGATACAATCTGGTCTGGGAACACAGAAATGTATAGGATCACACACTGTACTGAAGGTATAGGAGTTTTGGAGGACATAGAATGGTCTGGGGGCACAGGTTGGTCTGGGAGTACAGGCTGGTCTGGGGAAACAAACTGGTCTGAGGGTGCAGTTCAGTCTGGGAGTACAGGCTGGCCTGAGGGCACAGGCTGGTCTGAGGTACAGGGTGTCCTGAGGAACAAGCTCTGGGGGGTGCAGGCTAGTGTAGGGGTAGGGCTGGTTTTGGGGCACAGGCTAGTCTTGGGGTATAGACTTTCTCTATAGCTTGTGCCTAGAGCAGAGGCTGTTGCAAAGCGCGGGCTGATGTAGATTGGGGCTTTCTGAGGGTGCAAGCTCCCTCCCTGGGGCTCAGGCTCTCTCTGCAGCACAGGCTGTTTCTGGGGCACAGTTTTCTCCCACCCGGGCTCTCTCGCTGTCGGGTCCAAGCCCTGGGGGCGGCCTCACCTCCGGGCAGCGCTGCGGGGCCGCATGTCTCTCTGCCCACGGGCACGTCCGCCTGCCACAGTCGCTTGGTGCACATCTTCCACAGTCCCAGGTGGGCAGCGTCGCACACAGCGCTGTCGTTGGCCTTGAAGGTGTTGAGTTCCACCCAGAATTCTGTGCCCACGGCCAGCACGGCCAGCGTGGCGCCCACAGCGGTCAGCAGCAGCGCCAGCTTGATCTTGCCCTCCTGCTCCGGCGACAGCCCAGACTTGTGCTGCCCTCGAGCCCGCTGGCCAGACGCCCCCCTTCGCCGGTCCTCCTCTTGCATTAAGAAGTTGGACCACATCATCATCCTGGAGGCGGCGGATCGGCCCAGTGCAGAGAAGACTGAGCTGAGAGGGCTCCCGGGGGCGGGGAGAGGGTGGGGAAGGGCCTGGGGTCCTGAAGCGGGGAGGGGCTCAGTTCCCACTGGACTATGAAAAGGGAATTCCTGAATCTCCCTGGAACCTCAAATGGGGGAGCCGAGAGCCCCTCTAGGGCTCAGAAGAGAAGAAAGGGGACCCTCCAGCTGGGGAACCCTCTGAGGGTTAGGGGAGGGCCTGGAGTAAGTACCCACAGAAACTCAGCAAAGACGATGGGATGCAGCGGGAACTCAAGGTCCCCTGAGCTAGAACGTGGGTGCCCAGGAAGGGGCGGGAGGGCTCCAGAGCCAGGAGAACAGAGCGCCAGCTGAAGCTCTGAGGGGCTGCTAGGGGTTCCCACTGGGGGGGGGTCACGATAGGGAAACTGGTTTCCTGGGAGGAGGGATCCGAACTCCCACTAGGCTCAGAGTTTGGGGTGCCCAGGAGAGGGAGCTGAGGTTCTGTGTGTGTGAGAGGAGAGCCTCCTGGCTTCCTTTGGGCTCAGACTCTGGGGAGATCGGAACTCCTTCCAGGTCTCAGAGAGGCAGTAGGACCCCACAACATTCACAGAAGAGAACAGCACAGTCCAGAGGATGGGGCCTAGGGACCTGCTGGAATTCAGGCAAAGGAGATGAGGGTCTCTCTGGCCATTCAGAGAAGAGAGATCAGAAGTATGCACTGGGGCTGAGGGACACAGTGGAGCCCAGAGAAAGGGGCGAGGGTTCCCCCAGGGCTCAGGAGGGGACCTAGGGTCCCCACTGGGCTCAGATGGAGCGGCTGTGGTCCTCACTGCGGCTCAGGAAATGGGGACAGAGTCCCCCGCGATTCAAAGGACAGCCGGGACCCGGAAGGGACTCTGTGTCCCCTCGGGATCACTGGGCACCCCCTCCCCCGGGCTCCCAGGGCCTGCCCGGCCAAGACCGCTCCAGGCTCAGCTCCAGGCCGGGCGCCTCCCGCAGGCCTCCCACCCCCCGCTCCTGGGCAGGGACCCCTTTCGCCCTCCTGCCTGGGCGCCGCGCTGGCCCCAGCTCCGCGATCCTCCGAACCGTGGGCTCCGCACCGCCGACTGCCCGGCCGCGGGACCAGCGCTGCGCTTGCGGCGGCCTCGCCCCCAGCCGCCCACCCCCACCCTCCCGGCTATTTCGGGATCGACCCGTAAATAACACCCGCACCTGTCGCCCGGCGCCTGTTGCCATAGGGATTTCGGGTATTTTAAGGGACAAGGGGCGGGGGAGGGGCTGGGGGCCGGGTCCTGACCCGGCTGGAGCGTGAAGGGACATTTATTTCCTTAAGGGGCAAGCACGGGAACGGAGGGTCCGACCTCCCAGGTGGCAAAAGAAGGAGCAGGGCAGGGAGCCAAGGTTTTTGGCGTTGAGCAGGCCCCGTTGGGAACCAGAAATCCTCCGAGGGCGGAGTGGCTGGGGCCAGGAGTCCAGGGTCCCTGGAAGAGAAGGAACCTGGGGACGTCAATTCTTGAGTACTGGGGGAAGAAGGGGGTTGTGGACCTGCACCCCTGGGTCAATAGAGAACTGGGAGCTCGGCCTCTTGGGGCCTGGAGGAAGGCCTGGGGCTCTGTTGTCTGAGTGAGGAGGAGCCCAGGGCCTTAGGCTTCTGGGTCACAGGCTGGAGGGGCTGAAGACCTGCACTCCTGGGTCTGAGGGAGGAAACCGGGGCCCAGATCCCTGGGTCTTGCGGATGGAAGGACAGATTACCATGCTGGGGTCCTCAGCTCCCCAGGAGGTAGAAAGGGCAGGCCGAGGGAGAGGCTCGGTGTCAGGGGCACAGGAATCAGAGCCACAACCCTCTTCATTGAGTTTATTAGACGGGGGTCACCCCAGAGGACCGTCCATGCAGTTTCACTCCCCCAGGGGCAGGGACAGGACAGCTGTGTGGAATGGCAGCAGGGCCAGGTCTTCAACCCTTCACCCCGACCTACAGCCCTTGTGTCCAAGGCCCAGGTGGGTCCCACCTTTCACCAATTCCTTCGCCCATGGTTGGCTGCTCCAGTGGGGCTGGTGCCCCCTGTGGCACTTCCAATGGAGCACACATCACCCTGGGATGTCATTGGGAGCATCTGTTGGCTCTCTCCAGCCTTGGGCAGAGCCCTCATGCAGAAGGAACTTGTTTCCTCATCCTCAGCACTACCCAGCCCAGGACCACACAGGAGGCCTTAGGAAATGTGTTAGATGAGTGAGTGAATGAATGAATGAATGAATGGGCAAATGGATGAAGCAAGCTGTTGACACACACATCTCCTCCCAAGCTAGGGAAGGTGCCCACATCAGAGGTTACCTCCCTCTGCATTCTAATTGGCCGCCCTACCTGTCTCTCAACCCAGGCAGCTCGGAGAGGCAGGGCCTGGTGCAGCTGAAAAGCTCATGAAACTTCTTAAATGAATGGGTGAAACCTGTTTTTCACTTCACTTCACTGAGTCTTCCCAGGCCTTGACAGCCTCCAGAAAGGGATTCGAGTGTGCTTGGTGCTAACAGCTGGCAGGACAGCTCCGGGGACGGTCTACCTGCCCCCCGAATCTATGCCCCTCCCAGCCTTGGGTCTCCCCATCCTTCTCAGTATGCCTGCTATAACAGCTCTCATTTTAGTTCTGTCCACCATCTCCCTGTCTCTCCTTTCACAGAAAGGGTACAAACTTTCTTTGGTATGGAGGTTCTTGTCACTTTCATACCAGGATGGTCTCATTTTTCCCTCCATCTTCCCTCCTTCTTTCTTCCTTCCACACAGAGCCCCAGTCCCCACCAATGCAATGCAATGACCTCATATCAAGGTCACCATATCAAACCGAACAGTCACTTTGCTCTCCGGACCTTCCTCCTGGTCTCGGGCTACCTCATGGTCCCCTTCTGCCCTTATGCACATGCCCCCAGGCCCTGGCCCGTGTCACCTCTCCATCCACACTCATCTCCTAGGTCACCTCATCCAGTCCCATGGCTTTAAACATCTCCTATATGCTGATGTTCCCAAAATGTGTATTTCTAGCCATGATCTCTCCCCGGAGCTCTAGTCTCACATTACCAACTGGCTACCTGATAACTCCACTTGGGTTTCTCACAGCCATATCCAACTTGACCGTGTCCAAAAGACACCCAACTCCTCCACCTAAATCCTGACTCATTCCTGGTGGCCCCTTCTGGGGACACCAAGCAGCACCCACTTAAGTGGCACATGCGTCACTTTGGTTTCTCGTTCCCTCTCCTGCTACATCCAGTTTGCCACCACTATCAGCTCTGCCTCCAAAATCCTGTGCGTCCTCCCATTGCTCTCCAACCTGACTCTACATGGGTCCAGGCCACCATCAGCCTGACTTGGACAAGGTCAACAGCCCTAACTCCTTACTGCAACTTTCACTCCTAAATCTAGTCTCAGCACAACTTGGATCTATTTTGTTTGTTTGTTTAAATAAAAATATAATCATATTCTGCCTGTGCTCATCCCATGGAGTCTAGAATAAAATTAAAGTTTCTTCCCAGGGCTACAAGGCCCTACATGATCGGCCTGGTACCAGCCTGTGCTTCTGACCTCACCTGGATTTGCTCACCCTTGTTAACCTGCCAACCACCTCCAGGCTTCCTCGCCTACCTGGGGCCTTCTCTGGACATTTGTGCTACCTGCCATGGCCAGAAAGCTTGCCCTGTCCCTTTCCTTCTCACAACCCACGTTTCTGTTCAAACATTACCTCTGCAGGGAGGTCTTCTCAAAGCCCCCACACCATCTTTGTTACCACTTCCTGCCTAGTTTTTAAAGCAGTTCCCCAAAATGGAAATTCTCTTATTACTTATTATTTGCCTCTCCTGTGGGTTCCAGGACAGCAGGACCTTGACTGTCTGCTCACCACAGGCCTTGGGCCTAGTCTGAGTCTAGAACAGGATGGCACTCAGTGACTATTTCTTGAATACTAAAAGCAAGCAAGCAAAGAAATGAGCCATCCCGATACGTTATACTCACTTCTAAGTCTCCACATTTCTTTCTAGGCAGATCTCTGGATCTTTCTCTGTGGTTCTGCCTCTCCATCTCTGTGCATTTTTTTTTAATTTTTATTTAGCTGAGACATCCTGCCCCCTGTTGCTCAGAGCTCACTCTTAACCAACTGGGCCACTCGGCCGGCCCTTCTGTGCCTGTTTATATCTCAGATGTCTCTCTTCTAATTTGCACATCTTTGCATCAGTCTCTCTCCTGTCCTTTTTTATCTCCTCTCCGGATCACCTTCCTTTTTCTCTGTGACTCGCCTAGTTTGGGTCTCTATTGCCTTCGTCCTCCCTCCCATCTTCCCTCCCCTCAGTCTCTCTCCATCTCTCCTTCTCCAACTCCCCTCCTCTCTCTCTCCCTCTGCCCATCCTCCACTTCTTTCTTGCTGTTTGGCCTTTGGACCCCAGAAACCACTATCCTCTAACCAGTTTTGCCCCCTCCTCCATCAGAGCCCCTTTTCCCACCAAACTTGTCTCTTTAACTCCACATCTTCCTGTCCCCCTTCTTTCCATTCATCATCCCTACACCAAGTTCCTCTGTCTTGCTAATTTGTATTCCTTTCCCCACATTTTCCAGCATCTCTCCCTGACACTGCCCCCATGGCATTCCTCCCTGGTCCCAGAGTCCCTGGCAGCCTGGTGCCATCACTGCCCACTCCCTCCTGTCTATGCCCCATCTGTCTTCCCAGCGGACTAGGAGCCCCTGGCGGGTAGGGCAGGGCCTGAATCATCTCTACACTCCCAGCATCTCAGAGGACTGGGCCTGGCACCTGGGAGACCTCAGGAAATATTTGCTGAGCCAATGAAAGAACACCCACCAACACCAACCCTTCCTTGTCCTCAGTGACCTTCAAACCCATCCCTCCTCCACCCCCACAGTCCATGCCCAGTTCAACTGCCCTCCTCTCTCACCATCCCACAGCACCAGCCTCATCCCAGGAGGCTCCTTTTAACACCCATGTCTGATCCTGCCCTTAACCTGCTCAAAGCTCTCCCATGTCTCTCCACTACCCTTAGAACATCCCAAACCCTCTGCCTGGAACTTCAGCACCTTAGACTCTGGCTTCTAGCGGGTTCTCTGGGCTTACCTCTCACCCCCACCCTGTCCCCATGCACCATGCTGTTTTACTCCCCCAGGCCTTTGCCTGAGTTGTTCTTTTGCCCAAAAACCTTCCTCACACCCTTTATCATCTGGCAGACTCCTACTCATCCTTCTGAAACCCAGGCTGGGTGTGACATTCTCTGGGAAATTTCCGAGTACTGCCCACTCCTGGCAGCTGGTCACTCTGCTGTTGAAGGTGCTCATTATGGTGGCCTTGCCTAGATTGTGGTGCTTAAAGGCTCCTGTAGGGCCTGCTTCATTGTTCCACCTCAGGGGATTCCGATTCTAGTGTACTGTCTGGTACATTAGCAGAAGCTCAAAAATGTCAGCAAGTGAATGGCTGAATGAATGAGCGAAACGCTAATCTGTTAAGTCCCAGCATCTCTCCTGCACGCCAGACACCATTCCTATACTTCAGTGTTTGTGCCATTATCTGCTTCCTCCCACAAGTGTGAATTTCAAGGGCCAGTGCCTGTTTGATGCTGAATTCCAGCATGTCTTTGCCTCTCACTCTCATCTCTTGAGTTCCTGCCTCCCCTTTATATACCATTCATGATGTGCTCCTGCTGAAAGCCATTCATTTCATGGCTCCCTGCTTCCCTCGGAATAATGTGTAAACTCCACACCTAACCTAGAAGTCTCTGGTCAGTCTGGCCTGTCTATGTCTCCAGCCTCATCCTGTTCTACCTGCACCTGGCTCACTGGTAGCTTTCTCTGGAAGGTCCTCCTGCCCCAGGGTCTTTGCATATGCTGTTCTCTGGCTAAACACTTTCCCCCAGCTTCATCTGGCTGGCTTGTCATCCTTTCAGTGTCAGCTAAAACATCCCTTCCTTTTAAACTGGGTTAAGCCTCCCTGATGGAACATTTTGTAGCACTTCAGATTTTTCATATGTCCTAACTGCAACTTACTGTTGTGTAGTTTTTGATTGTCTAATGCACAAGATGTAAACTCCATAAGGACGTTGGGGGCCCTGTTTGTCTTCCGCACTGTGTGCTCAACATTCAGCACAATGTCTAGCACTTAGGTGCACAAATAAATTGCTGATAATAAATGAAAATAATAAACCCTTGGGAATAATGAATGAAAAAGTAAATGATTGTCCACATCCATGCCTTGTCACTCTGCCTTTTCTCATCCCTTCTCTTTACCTGTCTCTTTATATAGAGCATATATATAGTTTGTAGGTATAACTATATATTCGTGTGTTATGGGCCCCTCTCCAGGAGTTGGGCTGGGTTGGGAGTCCCTCCCTCCCCCCGACCCGCCCCCACATGCACACAGCAAAACATTAAAAAGAAAACATCTCAAAACTGCAAAAAACACCACAGCCCTCCCCCCTCCCCCCAATCCCACAAAAAAATAAAACACGACGTTCCCTCACACGGACCCCTCTCTTTCCTCCTCTTACCCCTCCCTCGGGGGTCCCAGATCCCTGATTGGAGGGTGGGGGGCCTCCCCCCCCCCCGCGCCCGGGGGAGGGGGAGAGGTCGCAGGGGGTAAGGCCAAGCAGTCTCTAGCGCGCTCACGGGGAAGGAGGGAGGCAGCTCCGACCCCCGGCAGCCTCATTGCACGCGCGCCCGCGCACGCGCCCCGGCCACACACCCCGGCGCCCCCGGCGCGCCCCTACACTGGCGTGGTTTTCCTGTTCAGGGTGTTGGTGTTTGAGGCGGCGGTCTCCTTGGCCAGGGTCCCGGGGGCGGGAGCAGCGGGCGCGGGTGGGGCGGGCGCGGGCGCCGCTGGGGGCCCGGTTACCGTGACCGTGACGCCGCCGCCCGCCTCCTTGGGGAAGGCGTTGTGTAGCGTGAGGAAACCAGGTGCCCCCCCGCGGTCCCGCTCGGCGCCCGCCCCGCCGCCCGCGCCCCCAGCCGCACCGCCGAACGCCCCGCTGCCGGCCCCCGCCAGCCCCGCCGCCACGCTGCCCTTGGATGGGTCGCGGCTGAGCGTGTACATGGAGATGTCCGTGGATGCGAAGCCCGGACCCCCGGCGCCGCCGGGAGACACTTCCCGCGACGGCGATGGCTCGCTGGAGCGGGAGCTAGAGCGGGAGCGGCGGCGGTAGCGGAAGCGGTAACTGGGCAGACGGAGGATGGCCGAGGGGCCGCTCCCGCCACTGCCGCCCGCGCCCCCGCCGGCCTTGAGCAGGTCCGAGCGAGACTGACAATGTGCCTCGCGGCTGCGCTCGATGTAAATGTTGACGGCCAGCACGCCGATCACCTCGGCCAGGATGAATGACAGCCCGCCAAAGTAGAAGGACCAGCCGTACGAGTAATGGTTCTTCTTCTCCTCGTCCCGCTTCGGGCCAGGTTCGCCCGCGTTGGCCGAAATGTACACGATCACGCCGATGATGTTGCTCAGGCCTAGGCAGGGACAGTCAGACGGGAGCCTCGACGCCACCCTGGCCGGGCCCCGGCCCCG